TCAATTTCCCTTTAAGTAACTGTAAAGAAATCAGTCTTATTTTCAAGTGTGGCTGCCAGAATCAATCCCATTCTATATTATACTCATACTTCATGTCTGGTCATGAACAATGGCAATTCAGGGAAAGAGAGTAACGTTAAGTAGTAGTAGGACCTGTTTTAGACCTTCAAGATGAGATTTTTATAAGAACAAAGAGCAAAATGCATTCTAGGGAAGAACATGTGTTGGGTTAGAATATAAATCAGTTGTTGTAATGAAGACTCAGGCTAACAGCAACCTCATGAACAAGCTCTCTCCTGTAACAGAGCATGTAGACTAGAGCACTAATGTAATCCGTAAGGCAGCAGGTTTTCTCTACCTCTTGCTCTGTCACTTGCTAAGCTATGCCATGTCCTCATGACCAAAAACAGTTGACATCTTCTGGGTCTGTATTCTATGACTGGAAGGGAGAAAATGAGGAAAATATTCAAAGGGGACATAATCTTTCCTTTTAAAGGCAGAACCCAGTAATTTCAAATTTGTAACTTCAAATTTGCAATTTCAAATCAATTACACTCACATCCCACTTGCCAGAAATGAGTCACATACAAAGCTAGCTACAAGAGAAACTGGGGGAAAGCTGCTGAGAAGCCATGGCACTGCCCAAGCTAAAACTTGAAATTTCTATTACTAAAGAAACTAAGATAATATAGTGGTCTCACAGATTAACATAGAAAATGACAGGAGGTAGAAGAGAGCATAGGGAAAACAACAGTCCTAAGAATATAAGATATTAAGATTCTACAGTGCTTGACTGAGGAGTTGCAGATGTGGGAAGTTATTGAGGGTTTATAAAGAATATCACCAAGAAAGTTGTCTCTTTGTTTGCTAATTTGTTTTCTAGGACAGTTTAGGTGATGGTGAGATATAGGATACAGTATGTAAGATGTGATGAGAGGGTATATCAGAGAATTAAGATGGATAAGGTCCTTGTTATTTGAAGTGTGGCCCAGGGTCTCAAATAGCATCAGAATCACCTGGGAGCTTGTCAGAAATGCAGAATCTTAGGCCCCACCCAGACCTACAGAATTATAATGTGGCATTTCTACAGATTCTTTAGTGAATAATATTAAAGTCTGAGAAGCGCTGGGCTAGCTTATGCTATGGTATGTAATAGTCCTAAAATCTATACTTTAAAACCACAGATATTTCTTTCTTGCTCATGCTGAAAGTTCATCTGGAAGGAAGAGGGTGGCAAGTAAGTGACTCTGCTTCATCATCCTCATCCGGACCCCAGCCTGACGGTGCCTCTACCATCTGAACATCACCAGTCAGGTGGCAAGGGGAGGTAATGTGCGGCTCCTACACTTCTCTCACATTTCCTTTGTCAAGCAAACCCCATAGCAATGCCTGGCTTCAACGAGGTAGGAAACACAACTCTACCATGTCCCTAGAAGGAAAGGAATCAAAATACTGGTGAAGCCAGGAGACCCCAGAGGTAGGGAGGTCTTTCAAAGGTCATCACAACGTGCATGTAAAGTGATCAGATACTGGGAAAATATAGTATCACTTGGAAGGAAAAGGAGAGTATGAACAACAAAGATATTTCAGAATAATTATTCTGAAGTAATCAAGAAGGACTCCCAGCTTTAGAGTCTGATAGGGTAGAAGTGAAAAACTGTGGAGGAACTGGTTGTTGTGGGGAGCAGAAAGCCTGAGTTTGGAATCAGTCCGTCAGTCAGTTCAATCGCTGAGTCGTGTCCAACTCTTTGTGACCCAATGGACTGCAGCACACCAGGCTTCCCTGTCCATCACTAAACCCCGGGGCCTACTCAAACTCATGTCCATCGAGTCAGTGAAGCCATCCAACCATTTCATTCTCTGTTGTCCCCTTCTCCTCCCGCCTTTAATCTTTCCCAGCATCAGGGTCTTTTCCAATGAGTCAGTTCTTCACATCAGGTGGCCAAAGTATTGGAGGTTCAGCTTTAGCATCAGTCCTTCCAATGAATATTCAGGACTGATTTCCTTTAGGATGGACTGGTTGGATCTCCTTGCAGTCCAAGGGACTCTCAAGTCTTCTCCAACACCACAGTTCAAAAGTATCAATTCTTTGGATATGCTAAATCAGAAATTAAAGTGGATATTCGCCCTCCACCTATCTTTCCAACCTCATCTTCTATCACTCCCTCCCATCCCCAACCATGCTCCAGCCACACTGACCTTTCTGTTCCTTTGAATACCAACCTCATTCTCACCTTAGGATTGTTGTACTTACAGTTTCTTCTGGAATGCCCTTCTCTGAGCCCATCATGAGCTCCTGCTTCTCATTCAGAACTTACCATAGTGTTAGTCACTCAGTCATGTCCGACTCTTTGCAACCCTATGGACTGTAGCCTGCCAGGCTCTTCTGTCCATGGGATTCTCCAGGCAAGAATACTGGAGTGGGTTGCCATTCCCTTCTCCAGGGAATCTTCCTGACCCAAGGATAGAACCTGGGTCTCCTGCATTGCAGGCAGATTCTTTACCACTGAGGCATCAGGGAATACCATAGCGTTACCTCCTCAGAAAGGCCTTTCCTAGTCATACAAATGTAACCACCCAGTCACACATTATCACACCTCCCTACTTTAGTTATCACCATAGTATCTAGGGCTAACCAATATTTTTAATGGCTTATTCCTCCCTCTCCATTAAAAAGTAAGCTCCATGAAGGCATGGACTCTAACTCGTATCACCAGTTTCAAATACAGTGCCAGGCAGAGTTAGTACCCAATAAATATTTACTGAATGTTCACATGGGAATTTCACTTACAAGATATGCAAAAAGGGAAATATAGATAGGGCTCCAATGAGGAAAACAGATTTGGGATAGTGAAGTTCTCTATAAACTATTAGATGAATAGGAAGTATTAAACCTTTAGGAATGTTCCCCCCTTGTGGGTAGAGAAGTGTAGGAGATTCAGAAGTCTAAGGGGTATAGCAGTGTCTCCTGAAGCAAGGACAACGTTTCAGTGAGTTGATGGGTCAATGATGGGCAAGTGTTACCTCTTAGTGAAGAAAAATGGGAATAAAAAAAAGACCATTGGATTTGGAAAGGTCATTTGTGACCATAGATTAAAAGAGCAAAAATGTAGGGCTTAAGAAGAGAAAGGACTTGGCAGGTATAGCTCATTAGTGGAGCAGTTTGGCAGTTAAGGGAATTAATACTCTAGCAGGATTGAGTGGGTTTCTTTTTTATGAAACCCAGGCTTCTTAACTTGAAGTTAATGGACCCTTAGGGGGTCCACAAGTCACTTTTAGGGACTCTGCAAACTCAGAAATTATAGGCAAAATTTTCTGTGTGCAGAGGGTCAGAGGTGCGGGGAAGAGGATTTGTAGTTTCATTAGTTTTCAAAAGGTCGAGACCCAAAGGGTAAACAGTTATTGCTGAATAGGAAGAAAATAAGCGAGTTTTGTTAAATAAAAAAAAACTCGGAGACCCAGAAAATGGCTAAGCTTTAAAGAGAAAAAGAAAAACCGCTTATCTAAGCAAAAGCTAGGAAGATTTTTTTTTTAAGTTCACAATTACATCATCATTTCAGTAAAAGTGGGAGTAGAGACCTATCTGGAAACACTGGAGAAACTTGTGCAAACACGATCCAGTGAAGGGTTACTGAAGCCGGGCAGATGGAGCGCGGAAAGCCTGCGCTCATCAACCCAGCCTGAAGCCACAGCAAAGCACCACCTGTGTAACCTCAAGGCCTAGGTGATGCTCAAGGCTGGGGACTGCTGACATTGTTCTTTAGCCATAAGCGCCCCTCTGAGACTCCAGCCCACCTGTCTGCGAGAGAGAGCCGTCTTACTACAAAAGAAATCCTCACCGGGAAGGTGGGCTCATCAGTAGTCAGCTTAGGGACACGCTTCCCCTATTTCAAGAACTTTCCTGCTGTGTTTGGGCAGCAGCGGCCTCCTGTCCAGCCGCCCCACCTGTCGTTTCTGAATCATCCCGCCCCACGTCGACACCTCTCTTCCCGGCCTCAGTGCTCGGCCAGGCTCAGGGTCTAACGTTAGCAGGTCTCCTAACTCATTCTCAAGAACTGCGGGGTTTATTGGGTGACTCCGGGGCCTGAGGAGCACCGAGCCCTCAGGAGTGTGCTCGCCCGTGGCCCACAAGGAACAACACTCCCGACCTGGGAAGAGTTTAACCGGCCGCCGCCTGCATGTCGCAACAGCTTTCCTGACAGGCCGGTGGGCCACGCCAGGGGATGCCAAGCCCAGGCCGGCTCCGCCCCACGCCAGCCCGACATCCCGCGGGAATAGAGCTCTGGCGTCAGGGCCCCCAGCCCGCACGCGACCTGCGAGTCTAGGGAGTCGGGGCTGGCGCTTGAGCGCGGATCTTAACGGCACCAGTCAGCGGTTTGACCTTGAAGGCCGAATACCGCCCTTTCCCTCCCCCTCCCCCTCCCCCTCCCTCTCTCCCTCCCCACCCCCCAAAGCGATGCAGCCTGCAGCGCACATAGCTCCCCGGGCGCCAGTCTGGGGCCCAAATTCCGCCTGGATAGCCCTGGGCGCTTCGCCCTCTTCCTGTAGCCAATCGGATCCCAACGTAATGCTAGCCAATGGCCGGGGTCAAAGCATCAAGGGTGGTTGAGCCTATCAAAGTTCAGCCTTAAGTTTCTCCCGCCCTCCAGAAAAGTCGGAGGGCGGGTTGATCTTACCTGTTGGCCAATCAAATGGCCAATAAACAAGAAGCTTCCAAGATCAAAGGGGAAGGGGTGGGATCTAAGCGGTAGCAACGCCGCGGGGCGAAGGAATGACAGGCAATTTCACTAATACCACAGACATATTTTTTAACGTAAGCCAAGGGGCGGAGCTAACTTGGCGGCTGCACCAATGGCTGACTGAGGGGCGTGTCCTCGGGGCCAAGCGGGAGCCGGAGGCCCCGGGCTCTCTGGGCCGCGCCTGAGGCAGACGCGACGGGGCTGGGGGGCGGCGGCAGTGGCGGCGGTGGCGAGGGTGGGCGCCGCAGCTGGCCCGGGTGGATGGAGTTGGAGGGGCGGGGTGCTGGCGGTGTGGCGGGGGGGCCGGCGGCTGGGCCGGGGCGGAGCCCCGGGGAGTCGGCGCTGCTGGACGGGTGGCTGCAGCGGGGCGTGGGCCGGGGGGCCAGCGGCGGGGAGGCCGGGGCCTGCAGGCCCCCGGTTCGACAGGATCCGGACTCCGGCCCGGACTACGAGGCGCTGCCGGCTGGAGCCACTGTCACCACGCACATGGTGGCGGGCGCCGTGGCAGGGATCCTGGAGCACTGCGTGATGTACCCCGTCGACTGCGTCAAGGTGAGACCTGGACCTGCTCCGAACCCGACCTGGGGCTGACCCGACCCCCTGGGTCATGCCTGGAGCCAGGATCCCAGCCGAGAGGCAGAGCCGACAGGGCTTCTTTTCTGGCTCCTACCATCACCACACGATTCGACCGATACTCCATGCAAGCAAGGTCCCAGCCGGGAATTGATCCCAGTCAGGAACCGGGACCCATTTCTAACCGTCAGTGAGATCTGAATCGGGACTCTGGGAAGAAAATCTGTCAGCCAAAACCCTGGATCCCAGCTGGGACTAAACAGGAATAGGGTGGGATGGGAAAGGAACAGGTAAGTGCTACTAACTTCATTAAGGTAACGCTTATTGAAGACCCTGAATAGGACCTTAAAAGTTAGAGATGTTCCGATTGCTTTTACAAACTCATCTTGTGTGTTTACAAGTAACAGGGCAGGAACCAGAGTCTGGGATCTCTCAGTTAGATGAAAGACTTACTTATTAAATCTTAATCGATGAGTGAGTGGAAATCATTGTGCAGTCAGAATTCAGAGTTCCTGACTGGAAATAATACGGGAAAGACCATGTTCAGGGAAAAGTTTCGGTTTCTCTGTGCAGCAGGCCTGATACCCCACCTATTTCCTGAACATAAAAATTTAGCTGGGATTGGGGTTGTGTATGTGCAGGGAGCACGTCACCCCTCCAAGGAGGGATGGACCTCATAGTGTATACCTTTAGCCACTTGAAGTTGACAAAAAGGGAAAAGTTGCCTATAAGGGAGGCATTGGAAATAGATGTATTGGAAAATAGAAGTTAGTGTGAAGAAAGTAGATGTTAGTGTGAAGAAAATGAAATGGGACCAACATGAGGGCATGATTCCTGGGAAAGTAAAAGTAATTTCATCCACACCAGGCAGGCTGTTGAGTGGGTACAAGACTAGGTGGTGACTCGGTGTTTCTGAAGAAAGCTGGGTAACGAGGGGGAATGCATTGTTCTTTACAGTTCTTATTTTTGTGCATTAGCAAAGGAGCCACCACTAAATAAGTTGAGTGAGAAGTAAACTCAAGGGGACTACTGAAATAAATATACTGACAGAGACTAGTTCTTCCTTTACATGTTAAGGGTAAGAGTTGAAAAATATTCTCACAGCTCTTGGATGTATGTCTTCTTCTTAAACTAGGGAAAAGTTACATGTTCAGGAGGAGAGTATTAACTTGGGAGATGCAAAATCTGTCTCTTCTGCTTCTCCCTGGTTCCAGTACCGTTTCATGTTTTCACTCTTAAGGTGGATGAGGAAGTGGAGAATATGCTTGGTAAGCTTTGTAAATGACACTGAGCTCGTAGGAGTATTCTAGCACACTGCAAGGTAACTCCTACCAAAGGCCATACATTGAAACTGGTAAATGCACTTAACTAAAATGGATATTAGAATTTTAAATACCCATGTCAATTGTGAGGAATAGAAAAAGTAGTAAAATCCATGAAAGAGGAGTAAGAGGATGGCTAGTGCTCTAACAATATTGAAATGTCAAACAGATAAGTACAAGTAAAAAAGATTGAGATATTTATATAGAGTCTAGATTGAATGACTATGAGTTGTTAATGCTATGTATCCAAAAGATACATAACTGCAGAGTAACCTCACTTATTTGAACTGTGAGTAGAGTTTAAGAGTAGATAGTCTAGGGTGCTATCTTTCAGGATGGGTATCAAATGAAAACTGGATCAAGGAGAGTAATGGCTTGAAAAATACAATATAATAATGTGACTGACTTAGAAATATTACCACAGCTATTCAATTTAAGTGTTGCCCCATTACATTGGGCAACTATCTCCTTACTCCATATATTTACATAAATACTGGTTTTGTTGTAAACAATCTGTAACTTCCTCTGTTAGAAATTCTTCTAGAAGAGGGGTCCCTAACTTCCAGGCCATGGACTGGTGCTGATCCTGTCAGATCAGCGGTGGCATTAGATTAGAAGTAAAGTGCACAATAAATGGAATGTGCTCATATCATCCCAAAACACCCTTCCTTTCTGCCATCTGTGAAAAAAACTGCCTTCCACGAAACTGGTCCCTGGTGCCAAAAAGGTTGGGGACTGCTGCTCTAGAATACTTGGCTGCATATCCTTAAATGGGGCAAGTCTTTGTCCTCTGACAAGATGGAGTTGATGTTTTAGTCATTGAAGCCATTCAGAATCAAATGTGGTAGTTCAGGTGGGAGATCAAAATGGGTAATGCTGATGGGGGTCAAAGATAAGGTAGGACGGGAAAGCAAGGAGACTGATTTCCTCCTGAGCTGATAAACCCACTGAGGGAACACTTTAGAAAGAGAAGTTCCAGAAATGTTTTGCATAAATGCAGCAGCATTGCTGAAATAAGTCACTTGTAGCCTTCCAAGGTAACTGTTTTGAAGAACAGTTCTTATTCATTTACATAAGTGTTGGATTTTTTTTTTAATTAGTAATACAACATTACAGTCATGCCTCAAAGCTCTATTAAATAATTATTTCATCTGGAGGGAAAAAAAATGCTCAGGAGTTTTCAAAAATACAAAAGCATATTTTAGAAGAATCATCTTCATTTGCCATAGATGCTGGGATTTAAATGACTATAGGGAAAAACTAGGTGAGACCATTAGGACTCAGGGTCAGTTAATACTGATTACAGCAGTAGATACTGTTGTGCAGACTTGAAAGTAAAATTCAAATCTCTTTCAGAAGGGTTTACAGCAGTAGATACTGTTGTGCAGACTTGAAAGTAAAATTCAAATCTCTTCCTTCAGAAGGGGCTTCCCAGTTTACTTGTCCCTAGGCAGCCCTTCTTCCTCTTTTACCATAAATAGGTGGCAGAGAGGAAGAGCAGCCCAAAGTACCCTAAGACTAGAGGCAGGTATCTGTGTTAGAGCCTAAAGGGCAACCACAGTGTTTGCCAGTGAAAGCTGACAGTGCCTCTGGCATGCAGGACTGTGCATCCCCAGGCCACTTATCAGGGTCAGGTCGACTTAAATATCCTTGGGAGGGACCATGGGAAGTCAGCATAGCCTGGCTAGGCTACAGTTATTCAACCAGCTATTTCCATGGTCATAATAGGGAGGTTTGGGAGTGCAAGTGAATTCCAGTTTTCCTCTTCTGTGCTTCAGAGGCAAGCACCAGACTTTATCTAAAAGGATAGGTTCTGCAGCCTAAAGCAGTCAGAACTCCTCCCAATATCTTGTTAAGCACCTGTCACCAAGGTGCTTTTTTGGCTTTGCAGTGGTGAAGCAAATAAATCTATAAGTTAAGGAGAAAAAAACAAAGAGAAATAGATCTTTTTCAAACCAATGGAAGATTAGGAGATGAAAACATTGGCTTCTTTGATTTTCTTGTATCTAAATGGCAATTGCTCATGTTTGTCATGCCCTGTCTGATGTGCCTTGCAGTTATTGATTTAATCCTTGGAACAGCTTCATGAAGTAAACACCATTTTCATTATTTTATAGATGAAGAAAAGGAGGCAAGTTAAGTAACTTGCCCACGGTCACACAGTTAGTGGCAGAGCCATGATTTAAGCCGAGTCTGACTCCCCAGCCTTCCATACAGCCTCCCAAAAGCATTTCCAGAACCAAGCAAGGCACAGAATTTCACAATAGTGCTCCTTCCTGCAGATGAACAGCTGGACAGATCGATCATTACAGCCACAGAGGAACTTTAGATTGAAAACAAAAAATAAAAAATCAAGCCTGATCTATATGGTTAAAATCTATATAGTGGTTAAAGAGCAGTTAGCTGCCCATCCATATCTTCAAAAAGTGGTAACATGAGACAATGCTGCCATGATCTGTAAACTCTAAGATATGAACTAATATTTCTGAGAATCATATTTGAACACAATAAAAAGCCTTGTATTTCTGACACCTCATAAATTAGCAATGGCTTTTACATGCTTTAACTCTGAATCCCCCCAGTAGCCCTGTGCCCTAGCCATCCTTGGTCTCATGTTATAGATGACGGCCTGAAGCTCAGAGGTTAAGTGACATACCCGAGGCTACACAGCCAGCAAAGCTGGGGCTCCTACTCAGGCTTTCATGCCAAAATGTGGCTTGTTTTACCACACTGCTTCCTTCCCTATTAGTCTGATTTTTCTTCAAAGCCAGGCAGTGTTTTTTTATATCGAAGACTATTTGTTAATTCTTACTTAGAGATTTCATCTTTCTCTGAAAGATTTATTGACTCACAAATTTGGGAAGCCATATTTATTTTTATATTTGGTGTGGCTTAGGCCTGGGTCCTCTCCATGAGGGTGTATCTTCATTGAGTTAGAATTGTGAATTAGATTTAGACATGTGTGTAAAATGTTCAGTGTAACTTACCACCATCCAGGTTTCTCTTGTGGGTAAACGGTTCCAGGCCTCTGAGGCCAGACCTTCAAGTCTGGTTACCCAAATTTGACACTGACTCCAGTAGAACACTGTGATTTCTAAACATTCCCTCAATACAAGATTAGTTGTTTAACAAACCTGTGGAAACACACAGTTGTTAAGCTACCAGTTTATCTATTAGTTTCCCTACCCAGCAAAGGCCTGTAGTCTTGAATAACTCCTCTGATGAATTTTATCCTCCCAGGTGATGTGAAAGATCAGTAAACACATTCTTTATTGGAAATTGATGTTTTTTGGTTGTTTTGTTTTGTGTTTTTTTATTGAGAAGTAAAAAAGAATGTATCACATTGTGATAAGATCCTGTGTATTTCTGACTGAACTTCAAATAATTAATCTTTTATCCAGTTCTTTGTTGGTAGCTGGAAGGAGAAAATAACTCTAGAAGATTGTGGATTGCTTGCAGCTAACTAGGACTTGTTAATCTGGTTAGATTGTTTTCTCCCATGCTTTTGAGAAGAGACATTACTCTTGGATTAGATGGACAATAGGAAGGTTCCAGCTGTTCAATCCAGATTGAATCAGTGACAGGAATGAAGTAGGAATTTAAACTGTACTTGGGCATTAGTTGCCCCTGTTGGTTCACTAAAGGTCTTTTTGAACTGGTGTAAACAAAACTAAGGTTCTTCATTCTTCCATTACAAACAAATCTCAAGTGCCTACTGTATTGCAGGCACTGGACATTGATTTTATACTGATAGTCTCCAAGCCACCTTAGCCTTGAAATGGGTCAGTAGACAAGAGATCTGCCCTGTAGACTCATCTTTCAGAGAAAGTTGGTGATTTGTGAACTATAAGATTAATTTCCCAAGTTTCAATAAAACTTTGTCCAAGATTGTCAGAATATCTACCATATACATTCATTCCAGTCATTGAATCCTCTGGAGATTCCTAGGGTTATGTTTCACTGAGACTAATTTTTATTCATTGATGCCAGTTTTGGGATTTAGCCAGTTTAGATTAGAAATCTGGACTCTCCCTCAGTTTTAGAGACTAGATTGGTTTCCACCTTCATAGTTTGAGGGTAAACTTTCTTTCCCAGGAAACTAGAGCAACATCTATTAGGAATGTTATTTCTGCCAAAACTGTAATGTGCAGGCCCAGCTGCCAATGCCAAATATTCTGAAGAAGTCAGATTATCATCAAGCTTATGTCAGAGGTTGAGTCCTCATCTCATTAGTATGTGATCAGGAAGCAGGCCCAGGATCAGTCTTCAGTAGCAATAAAGTATATTGTAGACAGTAAATAGCTAACTTTAGAATCCACTTGTAAAGAGCTCTCAGCCTGAGTTTATTAAGATACAAAAGCAACTTCTCCTGAAACACAGGCTTACTATTTGTTACTGAGGCTCTGAATCACTTTGAAGTTCAAGAACACTTGCCAAAGAGTAATTTTTTGAGGGAAAATAATGGTGTTCTACTCATAGAGTCATGTGTTATTGTTTACTCATTAAGTTGTGTTCAACTCTTTTGAGACCCTGTGGACTGTTGCCTGGAAGGTTCCTTCTGTCCATGGGATTTCCCAGGCAAGAATACTGGAGTGGGTTGCCATTTCCTTCTCCAGGGGATCTTTCCAACCTAAGGATTGAACCCACCTCTCCTGCATTGGCAGATGGGTTCTTTACTGCTGAGCCACCAAGGAAGCCTGTAGAGTCATAGATGACCAGGAAAAAAAAAAAATCCAAGGCTTGGAAAGATTGGATATGGATTTGGAAGGCAGTAAAACTGGATGCCAGGTATCACTTCTACATATTGACACAACTTCACATAGAAGTCTGCCCGGAGCTCAGGCCTGAGTGCTGAGACTGGGTGAGCTGTCAGATCCCTGACACTGCACTTCTCCATTCTGTACTTTCAGACCCGGATGCAGAGCCTACAGCCAGATCCAGCCGCCCGCTATCGCAATGTGTTGGAGGCCCTCTGGAGGATTATAAGAACGGAGGGCCTGTGGAGGCCCATGCGAGGCCTGAACGTCACAGCAACAGGCGCAGGGCCTGCGCACGCCCTCTATTTTGCCTGCTATGAAAAGTTAAAAAAGACATTGAGTGATGTAATCCACCCTGGGGGCAATAGCCATATTGCCAATGGTATTGAGCCTTCCTGTGCTGGTTCTCCCACTTTCTCAACTCTTTGGGCTTTGCTGCTGTCAGTGCTCTCGAGTCTCAGCATGGTCTGAAGCTGCAGCTTTGGGCTGGGGTAGGCCAGATTATAGAGAAGGGACTTCCAAACCTGATGTTCTAAGACAGTGAGCTGCTTCCACCCCGCGCCTTCTTCCGGGCACCTCAACAAATGGTTACAGTATCCTTCCTTATGTACTTGCTTCACTCTTTGGTCTTCTCCCTGGCATCAACTTCTAATGCCCTGACAATGTAGACACACACTCTGAGCTGCCCACTCGGAGTATTTCTTGGTAGTCAGGTGTTAATCCTGCTCCTCAGGGTAGGATTGGAAGTGACCCAGTTACCCACGCAAGACATTAATGGAGCCTCAATTCTTTGCCTCACATTTTCGGGATCCCAATTGCCCAGAGGCAGTTTGTGTAACAGAGGACAAGACAAGAGCTTAACAAGTGAATGGGGGTGGGGCCTGGGTCTTTTGTCCAAAGAAACCAAAGGATGAAGGTTATATGGGAGTGAGGGAAGGGATAGCAGCCTGGAGAAAACCAAAGTGAAAGGGGAGAGGAGAGGGTGAGGGTTAGGGTAGTTCGGACCCTGAGAGAAAAGTCTAGATGGATAGCTGTTAGGATCTGGAGACAGGCTGGGCAGCATGGGGCAGCAGGACAGGTAGATGGGGTTCTGTGGTGGAGACCTAGTCGCCTGCCCCTCATGTGCTCCCTCCAGTGGGCTGATGTGCTGGCATCCCCTGGCCACAGTGGATCAGCTTCCTATCTGGGGCATGAGCTGCATCAGTCCTCAGAGCCATCTTTGTTGATGAAATCCGGGCTGTTCTCTCAGACTCTTCCTGGCCTTTGTATGGTAGACTGATGGCCATAGTAAGTTAGAGGGAACAAATAGCCTCATTTCTCTCTAGAGGCATTTAGAAGCAGTGGGTTCCCGTCTTTTAAACTGGCTGCTAGTATCCCCTCTCCCTGGTGTGGTTATCACAGCCACTCCCCTTCACTCTGGGGTCTCCCTGAGTCATTCACCCCCTCCTGGCCTTACATGTGGCAGTTGTTTTTTCCTTTGCAGGTGCAGCTGGGTGTGTGGCAACATTACTTCATGATGCTGCCATGAATCCAGTGGAAGGTAATGATTCCTCACCCTTTCCCTCTGTGGGCAGCTTCATCTACATCTCCAGGCTTTTCCTTTGTTTGGGGTTTGCAGAAGAAAGCCAGGGAGCACAGCATCAGTTTTGGTGGGAAAGCCTGCTGTAGTACATTGTCTTACCAGTAGAGGGCGCCCCCTCCACGCTCTCAGTGCTTAGGAAGATTCCCTTAGGCGGGAAGCATATTCATTGAGATTTAATTCATCTGGGGGTTCCCTAGAAAAACATATGAGACTGTCTGTGGCCTGTTCCTGGGTCTTCCTGAAAGTCCACTTTGTAGTGGATTTGATCAAAAAATTTAGCAGATTATTTCACTTCTCTTCAAAGAGATGAAAATGGATTTTGACGTTTGAAACTACTGCCTTTCTTGTTGGAATAAATAATGATTGAGATAGAAATGAAAGAGTAACATTAGCAGAGCTTAGTCCCTGCATGCTGCTTTTCAGATCCTGGCTTTTCAGTTGGAGAATGAGGTCCCCAAACAAATATGTAAAGACAGCACAGTTTCCATGTTCCTTAAAGTTCCAGTTCTTTATCTGTCTGGGCAAGACCACGGCAAGGAAGGGGTCAAAGCTAAGCTGAAGATCTCGAACTCACTCCATGAGTCTGCTTGAGGGGGTGGGAGGTGTTTGGAAACTAAAGGCACACTCTTCTTGGCTAAGACTTCTGTTTTTGGTAGCCCTTCTCCAGCTCTTCCTCCTGTGGAAGGATGGTGTCCTCATATTGTAAGAGGTCCGCATTCTGTGTACCTGAGGATTGGGATTGTTGGGCTGCGTGTTTGTCATTATGTTCACTGCCACTGAATCTTTTCTTGTCCTGGCACTTCATGAAAGACTAAGATGGTAGTAATAATAGGTACTTATTCCAAGGAAACCCTATGGAGTCTCTCAACGGTAGATATATATTAATTGGTTGGTCTTAAATCCTACTGGAAGTGGTTCCATTATTTTTTAGCCCTTTATCAACCCTCTCCTATCCCCTCCTCTCAAAAAGGGGAAGCTTCCACTTAGCAGGCCAACTGACAACTCACTCATACTTTTTTCTCTCTCCAATCCATTGGCTGATCCACTGACTTGGGACTCTGCTCCTGGACATTCCTGCTCACCGGCTGAATGCTGTCGCCATTGCCTTCTCACTAATGGCACCGCCAGTGGTCAAGCAGAGGATGCAGATGTACAACTCACCGTACCACCGGGTGACAGACTGTGTACGGGCAGTGTGGCAAAACGAAGGGGCCGGGGCCTTCTACCGCAGCTACACCACCCAGCTCACCATGAACGTTCCCTTCCAAGCCATTCACTTCATGACCTACGAATTCCTGCAGGAGCACTTTAACCCCCAGAGACGGTACAACCCCAGCTCCCACGTCCTCTCCGGAGCCTGTGCAGGAGCTGTAGCTGCCGCTGCCACAACCCCACTGGACGTTTGCAAAACATTGCTCAACACCCAGGAATCCCTGGCTTTGAACTCAAACCTTACAGGACATATCACAGGCATGGCTAGTGCCTTCAGGACGGTGTATCAAGTAGGCGGGGTGACCGCCTACTTCCGAGGGGTGCAGGCTAGAGTCATTTACCAGATCCCCTCCACAGCCATCGCTTGGTCTGTGTATGAGTTCTTCAAATACCTGATCACTAAAAGGCAAGAGGAGTGGAGGGCAGGCAAGTGAAGTAGCACCAAATGGAACCAGGGTTCAGCCAGCACTGATGCCCTGCCCACGCCGGCCATGTTTTCCGTCTTGAGACACGTCCCAGCCTCGAGTGGAGGAAGGAAGGCACAGGGCTTGCTCTCCCCAGGCTCTGGGTGTCTGGCTGACACCAGTTCCTGCCGCCCTCTGTCGCCACCGCCTTTCCTTCCGGGCCCTAAGCAAGTGCAGCGAGTCCCACCACAGCATCTCTGACACTCTCCTTCCTGGGCCTGATGACCTGCTCTAGACTGTTACAGAGGGATAAGCAGCTCATTCCCCTGGTTCCTAATAAAAAGGCTTTAAATTAAATAGTTTCATCGGGTTTGTATTGCCAAAGGGGAAGTGAAATGCTGTCAACCGTTCTTGATTTGAAGTGTAAATCAAGGGGCCCATAGGGAAGGTTTATTGCGTGTATAGTTTTTGTATCTGCTGTTTTCGTGGTGATTTAAGACTCTGGGGTCATACTCCCCCTTGGTTAGTAATAGGCTCCAAGGAATCTCTCTGATGGCAGGAATAATGGGTCTTTGACAGATCCTAACTAAAAAGGTGCTCTTGATCCTCACTGTTGCCTTTTCCCTAGGGCAGTGGCGTGGCTCGGGCAGGTAGATCTCTCTGCTCTGATTCTCAGCTCCCCCTGCAGTGGTAAACCTTTCCACTTGACACTTGGTTTTCTAATGTAGTTGCAAAGCTAAAATTAGTCGGTGAGGCTTCAAGTCCCGAAGATTACATGGTAAATAATAATACTTTTCATTTGATGTTAAGGCTTTTACAAAGTACTCTAACAGGTGATCTCATTTGGTTCTCCCAAAATCTGAAGTAGGCAGTGCAGGTATCATCTGTGTTTTACGGGTAAGGAAAGCTCAGAGAGGGTGTGACTTGCTCAAGGTCTCACAGTAAGTGCAGAACTGGGACCCCAACTCAGATCATTTATCCCCAGAAGCGAATCTGATTGTGCCCTCCTACAGATAGGGGAAGAGTGGAGGGTATGTCCTACACCTGCCATCTGAGGGAGCTCCCTGCCCAGGACCACTTAGGCTCTGGGAGACTTACAGGGACAGGGTTTTCACTGGTGGGTTTGGTGGGCCAGTTTGTTCCTTGTTTTTTTTTTGTACCTGAGCCAGTTGTTAGCAAGTTGTTCAGTACACAGAGTGGAAATTTAACCCCCTAAAACTTCCATCTGTCATCTTTGCTATGTCATCTGTCATTCATTCATTAACTAGTGAGTATCTTGTGTTGGGGACATGATGATAAATAAAACCATCCCCACCCTACCCCCAAAAAAAGATTAAAGAAATTAAAAAATTATCCCAGCCCTCAAGGAGCTTGTCTGGAAAGGAAGATACATGTAAACAGGCAATTACAAGATAAGATGACAAGAAACATGGTAAGTAAAGCTAGACACTTGTTGAGAGGACAGACTACCCAACCTGGTCTTGGGTGACAGGGTAGGAGGAAGTGACATCTGAAGGAATACCTGGAAGGCAAATGAGCTGGGAAGTTTTATTGTTTAGTCGCTAAGTCGTGTCCAACTTTCTTGCAAACCCGTGGACTGTAGCCCATCAGGCTCCTCTGTCCCTTGGATTTCCAAGCAAGAATACTGGAGTGGGTTGCCATTTTCTCCTCCAGGGGATCTTCCCGATCCAGGGATCGAACCTGCATCTCCTGCTTGGCAGGCAGATGCTTTACCACTGAACCACCAGGGAGGCCCCAGCTGTGAATAGAGGAGGGGAAATGTTCTCAGCGAAGACTTGGAGCATCTGGGGTTCAGTTTGCAAGGGGTTCCATGGTGGCTGACAGCCTGGGCAAGGCATGCAGCTGGAGAGCCAAGCAGGGGCTGGGTCTTAAAAGCAACACTAAGGAGTTTAGGGTTTATCCTGCAGGCAGTGCAGAAGAATTACAGGGTTTTAAGCAGAGGTATGGTGTGATGAGATCTGCAACTGATACAGATCACTTAGGCTCTCTAAGGAAGGATTAGAGCAGCAAGACTGGACAGGCAGGCAGACTTGGGAGAAGGCTGCCGAAGTCATCCCGGCAAGGCTGCACAGAGGTCTGTGCAGGCCTGTGGTGACGGAGAGGGAGGAAAGTGGCAGAAGAGCAGGGTTAGGGCTGCAGATCAGCGGGATTTGGTTACAGAGTAAATCTTGTTCTCCTTCCACCTGACAACCCTTCAAGTATCCTGTCTGAATGCACTTGAAACAGACTGTCAAGGAAACAGCAGGGTCTCCTGTTCTGAGCCTTAAGTAAGCTCTGCCAACCCTCTGATTTAGTGATGGGAGAGAGATGTTAACAGTGCCACACAGTGATCACTAAAGTCTGAATGGCCTGTGTAGTAAAAAGAGCACGATGAAGTCATTGCAGAGGTCATTTCAGAGGGTTTGCTTTTCAAGCGCAAGAGAACAGCTAGCTGCCTCCCAGCACCAACTAAGCCCAAGAACAAAGGGATGCCTCCCAAACCGGGGTCCTGTTGTCAGCTTTCCAGAGCTACTGCCTGGCATGGTACCCAGACCACAGCGGACACGGGGCAATAATATCTGCTCTTCAAGAAAAGGACATGGGATAATTTCAGAAAGAATGTAAGTCACTAAAGACCTCCTCAATTCTAAAGCTGTTCACAAATAATGAGAAAAGATTGCAAAGTGACCTTTCAGTCTTCAATGGTGTTCCAGCTACTGGAGGACAGTCGGTTTGGAGTTTGGACCTGGCCTTAGGTTCCCAGGTCTCTGGATCCGATCACTAGAGAAGACAGAGGCAGAACAGGGTGATGGGGTGAGAGTCTAGATGCCAGTGACTGGGTACCTGGGTCCGAAACCAAGCCTCACTTTCACAGTGCTCACCACACCCATGGGAACTGTGGATTTTGAGGTTAGCCCCTACCCAGAGTCTGCCTGGAAAGTCAGGTAGGTTATTTGGCACTGTGAGGACCCAGCACCAAGCCACCATCAAAGGCTCAATTCCTGCACAGTGCTAACTGATGGGGAAAATGAGAAAATAAGTCACAATTTGGCCAGAGAAAAATTTCTTAATCTGACAAGCAAAACCAGTGTGAATGAAACAATCTTATATTAACACAAAGCAGTGTATAGTCATGTACTAGACTACATGAAACCAACAATGAGATCAAGAGACAGAAAAGATTACTGTAAGTCAGAGTTAATGAAGAAATGGCTCTGATGGACAGTAAAATGAAAAAAAAAAAAACTTGTAAAAGCCAAAAAAAGTGCTAATTTTATAAACTTTAGAAAACATAGAAAGAAAATAACTCCAATCCTATTACCCAGAGAATATGACAACATTTTGATGTGCACATCATCTAGTATTTTTTCCATGTGTATTTTTTGTTAATTTTAAAAAATCAGACCACATTGTCAACAGCTTATTTCACATAACCGTATATGGTGCCCATCCTTCCATCTTATTAAATTTTCTTCCATTGCCTCAATGTAAATGGCCACATAATATTCCATTGTTCAAACGTACAATAGCTTATTTGGTCAGTCTCTTGGTACACCTTTATAGTAATTTATTCTCAAGAGCATTGTTGTGGGAGGTCAAAACTGAACAACAAAAAGGAGAGCAGGGCAGCTGTGGAGAGAAGGTGCAGGGTGGGGAGACAGTTTGGTGTGGCCTCCCAGCAGAAGCTGAAGAGATCCTAAAGGGAGACCAGGTGTAGGGTGGTGGTTGGAAGGGGTGAGGCTGAACAGCGAGAAGGTCAGAGGTAATGGGGTTCTTAGAAGTCATCCCTCCTGGAGCCCTGTTCCACTCTACAGCATCCCTGGCAGACCCACTCCAGGGTTTGGGCGCTCACTTCTACCCGAGGCCCAGCATGTTCATTCGCTGCAAAGTTCATTGGTTAGAAAGTTCATTCTTTGGTCTTCTGCTTCTTCCATTTTAGAATCATGTCACTCTCCTGCTTTTAAGGCCAAATTCCTCACCATGGCCAATGGGGCTTTACATAATGTGGCCTCTGCCTGTCTCTCCAATCCAAACCTACAACTTGAACACAAGACATTCAAAACAAACACATATTTTCCTGATAATCTAAAATATCCCTTCTGTTGTCTTCAGTCATGGATTTAGGAGACAAACAATATTCTGTCTAAAACTATCAGAAATCTCACACAATCGCTGTTCAGCTTGGATGTGCAGTACCTATTACCTCCTGCTACCTTACATTGGTGAGCAGAGAACAATTCCTGAATCATCAGGGCTCCATAAATGCAAGCTCTCCACCACGACCACCCCTGCCGTCCACACTCACACACTGAAAAGAAAGAACAATTCTTTCTATTGAGGCACTTAGGTCTCCTTGTAATTTCTGCCTGTGATCTCCCTCTGCTGCTGGAGCAGCACAGAATCAGACTAATCCTTTTTCTCTCTGACAGCCCCTCAAAAATATTAAGACAGCTGTCATGTCACCCAAGGAGGGTCAGATTCTGGAGAGCCTGAAAGTGAGGCGAAGGAGTCTAGACTTGACTTGGCAGCTAATGACGAGTTCTTGTGATTCTTAAGCAGGGAGGGACAGGACTAAAGCAATGTTAGGATGATTCAAGTAACAGTCCAGATAGGGGATGACCTGGAGTGGGGGGTGGGTGGCACTAGAGAGACAGGAACTTCAGGTGAGGGCCTGTCGTCACTATGTAGAAAAGGGGGACCCTCAGAAATATTGTTACTGGAAGATGAAAGGGACTTGATGATGGTTTAGACAAACATGTGGGAACTCAGGGCTTCCCAGGTCTCAAAGACTGGTAAAGTGGTAAAGACTCCAGCTGCTAATGCAGGAGACACAAGTTTGATCCCTGGGTCAGGAAGATCCCCTGGAGGAGGACATGACATCAGAGGACATTCCCTTAAAGGAAGGACTGAGTCTGAAGGAAGAAGAGAGAAGAGACAAGAGTTTTCCACCCAGCAGTGCTGGCTCAAGGAATAAGCCGAGGGATGGAAAAGATGTGGCTGGTCCTGAGGGCAGAGAAGGGAGGTTGCTT